GTAGTGTCAGTATTTATGGATGAGACGTGTTTTTTCCAGAAATCTTTTTTACTTTCTTTAATTATATACTTAGATTTGGCTCTCAGTTTTTTTAAGAAAATTAAATTTTCTTTAAAATCCACAAGGAAAAAAATTCCTGTAGCTGGCTATATACCACGTATCACAAAAAGAGGTTAGTCTTTGTAAATGGGTATATTTATTTAAAAAACCCTTAAAAGGGCTACATCAATAAAACAAACGTTTTCGGACCACACAGTCCATCATCAGGTTTTAAAATCGAAAAATGCTAGGTCACAATGCCTGAGCCACCAAAATACTAGGGTAAAAACCCTTTAAATTACATTTAGTTATAAAAGATTGTACATTGTTTTGTAAAATAACTGTGATGTTCAGTATTAAATTAAATTTGACTAGAGGTAACACATGGCTGAATCGAGTTCCAGAGCCGGTGAGAGAGAACCTCTATACGCGGAGAACAGCTGGGAACTAGTGGGAACTAGATATATTCTTGGGTGGCACAAGCTTAAGTCTATTAAGAATAATGTACCAGTAGCAATATTAAAATGAGTCTTGGAATGGTTATTCATCATACAAGTATCGGTAATGTTCAGTACATTTTCAACAGTTTTTCCTCGGCCGAAGGTTTTTTCAGAACCCCACAATGTATTGTGGGCATTGAAATCTCCAACAAGAAGGAAAGGTGAAGGAAGTTGGTATATGAGGTCCACTAAATCGGCTTCGGATAAACTATAATTTGGAGGAATGTAAATACTACAAACTGTAATTTTATTTGGACATCAAATGTTAACGGCGATAGCTTCTAAGTTTGTGCAAATGGGAAGATGTGTGGAGTAGAGATTATTGGATACGAATATGGATGTTCCACCGCTAGCTCTAAGATAGTCAGTTCTCAGGAAATGATATCCTACAAAACCATTTAAAAGTCGTTTGTGGTCAGATTTGAAATTCGTTACATGTAAACATCCTATGTCGGCAGTAGTATCAAGGATTAACTTTTGAAGGTGTTCAAGTCTAGGGTAAAACCCATCACAATTCCACTGGATTAGATTGAAGTTTATTAAAATGAGGATTTTTGGGAATGTTGGGAAGTATCTGAGAGACATTCCTCATCTGGAGGTTCCAGTGATGACAGGGAATTTATGCTCACTGTGTCTGCTGTGTCAGACTGAAAAACTTGTTTAAGTTTTTTTGATATTCTTGTAAATCTGTACTTTAGTGGCCTATCTGTTAGAAAAGGATAAATATTATACATTTCAGAGAGTAATGATTTGATGTCATGTGTAAATTGTTGGGCTTCAGATAATATATTGCTACTACCATAACTATTTTCACGAAAACTTATAAAATTGTCTACAGAAGTGGAAAAAGAGTGTGATGACTTACTAAAACAGTCTTTTATTGCTTTTTTTGAGGCATCCGTGCTTTTGGAACTATCAGACGAATCTTTTTTTAACTTCTTCCTAGCTTGTTTCATTGGTTTTCTGTTTGTATCTTGATAAGGTGGAGGCATTGCAGGTGAAACTTCTTCTTGTGTTTCTGACACGTTGATTACGTTAGAATCGACTGAATTCGAAAAGGCTCTCTTCATTCCAGGGACAGGTGAGGATGGTATTTCTTCAGTTGTTGATGGATTCTCTGTAGTAACTGAAGGGACAGTTATATTTGTGCAATTGTTAGCTACATGTCCAGACAAAAATATGCGATGTGCATTACCTTCAAATGGAATGACCAATGAAGTTTGGATCTCGTAGTTATCGTTCGGTGGGACTATGTAAACCTGTCTACGGAAGGAAAGAATATGGTTATATTCGTCGTCTGGAATTCCTGCCCTTAGGAATGAGATAAGTGAAGCAATCTGTAGGCCATAATCTTTGAGTGCTGACTCGATAAGCTCATGTGGAATAGATGGACATATATTTGATAAAACTAGACGTTTAGCTGGTGTAACTAGTCTTCCAATATTATGGTCTACGTCTCCTACGCGAACAACAGGATTATTTGTGAGTATAAGGTCCACACATTCTATATTGTTTAGGTAAATGAACAAACGGTTGTTCGAGATTCTGAAAGCAAAGCTAATGTTTTTCGGCCCAATAATATTTCCAATTAATTTGACGTAATCAAATAATTTAAGATTGTTATCAGTTATATGGAACACTATAGCCTGCTCTTTTTTTGGATACGTAGTTTTGGGTATTGCTTTGGCAGCAGCAACATATGAAACTGGAGGGCTGTTACTTTCAGTTGTATTTCTGTTATTTGCAGTTGGAGAGTTCATCTCGCCCCTGTAGTCAGAAGCGATAATGGCTTGATCACTAATATTTATTGGTAGTGTTTGTTATAGGCAAGTTTGCAATTGACAGAACTAGTGTATTTGTTGGTTATGTCTTCAAGATATTAAAATAAATTAACTTATGTATAACTTACTTTGAGACAGTTATAACATCATTTCACGATTCACTGTGTTCCATCAACTATATGGTTCAAATTTTAGGTATAACAGTTTTGTTTATATCCAAAAAATTTGACAAAAATTCGGCACTTCACACACAGAACTTAACTCGTTCAGTTCCCGTTGACAGTCCTACCTATGCTTTTAAGTTCTTAAATATTTGTAAGTTTTATTTTTTTAAATAATATGTGACCAACACTCATCGGATGTAATTTACCTAAATTTTCAACATTTACTTTTTCAATATAGAATATTATACTATATTGAAAAAGTATTTTTAATATTATACTTATCTGAGCGCAAATTGAAGGTTTTCTTTTGCAGTTCCATGATAGCTTCTACACTGTTGACATTTTTTATGGTCATGCTTTGATTATCAGTTTTGTTTAAATGGTCCTCACTATTATCTACTAACATTTGCACCAACGAAGACGTCCCTACACTAGTGTCCCTCTTTGGGGGAACAAAATAGAAGTTTACAACCGTAAAACACTTGATTGTTTAACTATACGGTCAAAACTAAAATAATAATTATACATAAAAAGTGAATCACAATACTAATTAGAAGTCCGGCTCGTTTATTATATTCTCTTTTGACTAGGATTAAGTCTCCTATAGTTCTACAGTTCTAAAATAAAAATAGCCATTATGATTGCCAACCTCCGTATGGAGACGGTACTCTAAGAAGAAGAAGTTTCCTATTTCGAAGTGTTGTGGCGTTGTTTTTGACTTATTTCTTTGGTGTCGCTCATTTTTGTGCTTTAATAAGAAAGTTTTTAGCTCTCTTCTATGCGAATTGTAGTTTATAGCGCAACTCATTATGGTAGACATCTATATTGTAACATGGTTGAACGTGTCGTGTAAGGTCTTCGGGTAAATTTACTTTCCTGCCATACAGGAATTCGAACGGTATATATCCATGATACGCGTAAGGGGTTGTATTGTAGCAGTATGTGACCATTCTGCAACACACACCCCAATTTTCTCTGTCTTCATCTATAAATGATCTCACGTACTCGTTTAATAATGTTCTATGTAGTTTCTCACAACTTCCAATCGATTGTGGGTGTTAGGCCATTGAGAAGTTGTGCTCTATTTTTAACATTTTTGTTAGTTCGTGCATTACTTCATTTTTATTCTCTGTGCCTCGGTCTGTTTTGATTTGTTTTATGAGTCCGTATGTTGGTATAAAATGATCGAAAATTCCCCGAGCAATTGTCTCGGCTTCTTTCTTGCACACTGATATACTCACTGCGTATTTCGTCAGTTCACACAGAATTGTGATACAGTATCTATTGTCTTTATGAATTCTAGGGAATAGACCTATCGTCTCTATGTACACTATTTTCCATGGTTTTGAAGAAGTGTCCGATATCACGAATTCCTCGACATGTAGTCTTTTCGGTTTGTTAATTTGACATTTATGACATTGTTTAATGTATTTTCTTACGTCTTTTTCCATATTTCTCCATTTGAATCTCGCCTACAGTTTCTTTATTAGCCTATTTTTTCCTATATGACCCCCAAACATCGGGTGGTTATGATATTCTTTCATTATCGTACGTTTTTCTTCATCGTACTCTATTGTTTCTGGTACTTCGCATACGTATATTTCTATATTTTTCAATAATTTGTTTCCTTCTTTTATAAATTTATCAATTGTGCACAATTTAAAAATATCATTTACGTATATCTTCACTTTACGTACTGCATTCTCTACAGTCAGCCAATCAAGCCATGCCAATATTGGACTTAAATCAAAGTGATTGAATCATGTTACCATGCTCTTGCTTCACTTGATTTGGTTTTTGATCCGAATGCTCAATCTTGGTGAGATTCGGTCTACTCCAAAAGACAAAATTGGTAGTCTATGCGACGCCTCTAAATTATTTAGTACCCTTCTTACTGGTTACTTGTGGACTTCCAGCTGTAGTGTAGGTTCATTTTCTGTATCCTTGTGTATTGTTTTTCTGTGTTGGTGTTGCGTTTCATTGTTACAACTACAGTTTCGGTTGTATATTTTGTCGCTAGTTCCAATGGCATTTCTTCCGCTATGTATTCAACTTTTAGCTGCTCTGCTAATTCTTCAACTTCAGATGCAGAGACCGCTGCATCGTTATGTCCTTGTCTTTTCTTCGCCAATTTAGCTATTACTGTCTTTGGATTGTCGCATCTCAGTTTCCTCTTCAGTGCCGCTGCTATTCTTGGTATTGTATCGTCTGTAGTTATAAGGTTCCTGGCCTTATTGATTAATCTTGTTTTGAATAATGTTATCGCTATTTCCTCGTGCCCTATCGCTATTTTCTCAAGGAGTTCTAATTCATCTAAAAATGACTGCAGTTTACCTGCGCTTCCATCAAACTCGCTGGGCAACACCTTGCTTGCGATATTTAAAAATTCGTTGATTGTAAGAGCCGTACTTATTTCTTGATCTGTATCGCTATGTTCTTCCTTCTTTCTAAGTTGTTGTTTCTTTGTCACATGTAAAGAAACTGGCTTAAAATTCTCTACATTTCAAGTATATTCTTTATCCGACATTTCCATTATTATCGTTTAAAACTTTTGTATCTCCAGTGAGTCCTTGTACTTGAAAACATTTGGCCGTTTCAATGAAGGTATTTAAGTCCTCTTGTCTAATTTGTACTTCTCCATGGTATTGTAGCAAGTCTTTTAGTGTTTCGTAAGTTACGTTTGTCAAAATTTCTATAGGGTGTTGACAGGGATTTGACTTATTTTTTTTTAAATATGTGCTACAAATTGAAAGAACCATTTTATGTGCTTTTATATATTTTCCTTGAGCTGCAAGCGTGACATCTACAAAATCTTGATTCTTCCATAATGAATTTATTCCTGAATTCAAATTTGCGTAGAAATTATTTCAACATAACGAAAATTTGTCTGACGCCATGGTCAATTATCTTTAAAAGTTATTTTAAATTCTTATAAATATAACGATAATTCTAAATATCGTAATTTATTATAGATAAATAATTAAATAAAAAGTTATATCTGATTTCTTCGTCTACATTATTTGAAGAATTTGCCATCTAAGCAAATTCATGTCGTAATTTAATATTTTCTGACCGGTGACGGTGTATTTTCACTTTCAAATATAAATATACTAAGTGACATAGAAATCCGAACACCCAGTTTAAATGATTTTATTTTAATAAAATTTTGTATAACTACTTAAAGAAGCATAATAAGTAAATGATTAAAATTTCAAAATGATTGCATTACTTTTAAGTCCTTTTACGTTTAATATTGTGTGGATGCACCCCGATGTGTTATGTATTCTCCAACGTGCCTAGGTATTCTTCTGATCAGGTGGTCAATGTCCTCTTGTGGTATCTCATTCCAGGCAACCACCAACTCCTCTCGAAGTGCTTGTAGAGTCTGAGCAGGGCGTTGCAAATTGAGCAATTTCCTACCTATCATATCCCACACGTGCTCAATTAAGGATAAGTCGGAAGATCATGGTGGCCATGCTAACAATGTGTCATCATTATGTTGAAATAAGTCTATTGTGACTCTTGCAACATGTAGTCGAGCATTATCTTGTTGGAAAATTGGATTTGCCAGGGTGTCAAGATAGGTTTAAAGGTGGGGTTCTAGAACTTCTTGGATATAACGCTGCGCGTTCATATTACCTCTGATGAAGATTAAAGCTGACCTGGAACCATAAGCTATAGCACCCAAAATCATAACTCTAACAGTGTGATGAACATGTCTTTCAACAAAAAACTGTAGATTTCTCCTTTCACCACGTCGCCTTCTAACCCTCGCTCGACCATCGTACATGCCTAAACAAAATCTAGACTCATCGCTCAAGACATTACTGTTCCATTTCTGATTCCAAAGTGTCCCTTCTCTGCACCACTGAAGGCGATTACGGCGGTGTTGTGGAGTTAAAGGGAGGACCCAATGTGGTCGGTATGAAAACAGGCCAAAACTTCTCATTCGTCGGTAAACACTTCGCATGTCAATAGGTCTTCCGTGTTCTACAAACCATTCATTTGCAATGGAGCTGATAGTGGAGAAACGGTCTCTTAAGGCCAATAATCTTAGGCGGCGATCTTGACGGTCTATTGTTCTACTTGCTTTTTGCGTATGGCTTTCTTGAAGCCATGCCTGCCAACAACTAACCACGGTGTCTACACATCTTTGCACTCTAACTGCAACTTCCCGAAAAGAAAGTCCAGCTTCATGAAGTACCATTATAAGGCCCCTATCAAACTTACTAAGTTGACGAAATCGTACAGGTCTCCATACTCTAAGCATCGTAACCAATCGTAAAGAATGTCAAAAACCATAATCCGACAAATTTGGATCTTTACTGCGGCGTAAATATTCATTTTTAGATTGTTAGTGAATTTAAAAACAAAAAGTATAAAAACCGGAATCTCCAACTAATAAGGCTAAGAACTTTATCACTTGCTTTTTCAGTAAGATAAATAAATGACACGAAATTTTATTAAAATAAAATCATTTAAACTGGTTGTTCAGATTTCTATGTCACTTAGTATATTTTTAAAACTATACTATGCAAATAAAATTATATAGCACATTTGTTTTATTAAAAAATATATAATTTGATATATAAACAGTTATATAGTGATAACTTAAAAATAAATTATATTCTGTACTTTTAAAAGCAATAAAAAGTTGTCTAATCATTATTCTCACCTAGTTAAATTATTATATTCAACTAATAAGTATTAATTTGTATCTGTTAGACTGTATAACTTATATAAAGGATAAAATAAAATTACTTACATAATATATTTCACATATGGTTTTTGTTAATTTACTTTTGTCCATTTAACATCTAGTATGTAAATTTCCAGTTTGTAGTTGTCATTTTTCATTTGTCTCCTCGGATTAGATTCAAGATTCCTTATTCAAAAGGTAGGATCGCCATATAATAATGTTGTATATTCTTATAATGTTTATGAGATTTCTTCCATCAATAGTTCCATAAAGTGGAAATCTAGGGGTAGTTTAACACCTGCAGGTTTTTTATTTAATAAAACTCCCAATAGGAATCTTATGTTTATTGCTATCTGATCATTCACTATGATCAATAAACAATTTAGTCCTATCTACAAAATATTACAAAAAACTTATCTAAGGTTACATTCAGCAATATTCCTTAGGCTCTAATACATTATAGTACTATTAGCTAACGTGTATACTTTAGCCGCACTTTGCTCTCCTTATTCACTTTCACTCACTTATAGCACTAACTCAAACGGCTTCGTTCTCTTAAGTCTTCTTGTCTGGTTGGCGTTGTCTAGGAGTTTGATGGTCTCGACATTCACGTGGTTGGAGAGCCTTTGTTCATGACTCTCGGCAAACTTACTTATTGTCTGCATAACCGTACTTATCTGGAGGTCTCGATGAAGATCACAGTTTCTGAGGTACCATGGAGCGTTAACGATGTTTCTTAATAATGTATTCTGATAACGTTGTATAATTTGGATGTTATTTTCTTTTGTACAGCCCCATGGCTGTATCTTATATGTCCATATCGGTTTAAGGACTTGCTTATACAATAAAATTTTGTTATAAGTAGACAAGTGGATTTTTTTCCCATCAACCAGTACATCTTTCTGAACTTAGTTTCTAATTCCTCCTTTTTTTTCTTAATATGTGTTTTCTATAGCATGGTTGCTGCATCCTCATGGTTTTATCCGACTGCTAGAATGCATGTGTTGTCTGTAAATTTCGCAATTGTGTTAGGTTTTAATGATGGAATTCCCGTTGATATTGCGTCGCATTTTATGCATTTCGTTCTTCTTCTTCTTCTTCTACTTTTTGTAGATCTTTCGATCTGTTTAATTCTGAAGCTGCCTCTGGTTAATTTCTTGGGAGGTAGATTGCCAACTATCCCTCCATCTTTTAGGTGGTCTTCCGGGGGCTCTTGAACCGGGCGGATTGTTTTCTAGGGCAATTTTTGGGAGTCTATTCTCATCCATTCGTCTTACATGGTTGTACCACATCCTCTTGCGCTGCCTTCCCCATCTTACTATATCTTGAATTTTGCACTGCTCTCTAATGTTTGTATTTCTCACTCTGTCTCTTCTTGTTTTCCCCATTATTGTTCTTAGGGTTTTCATTTCGGCAACCCTTAGCATCTGTTTCGTTTTGTTGGTATCTTCGCGCACTTCTATGCCATATGTCATGATCGGTCGTATGCAAGTCTTATAGATTCTAATTTTACTATCTGTGCGCATATACGGATTTGACCAGACTATCTCCCGCAGACATCCTGACAGTGCAGATGCTTTGTTGATTTGACTCCTCAGGTCCTTTACTGGGTCGTGGGTGCTTGAGATATCTATGCCCAGATATCTGAATTGCATCACCTGTTCTATGGGGTTGTCCTCAACCACTAACTTACATCTGAGCGGATCTTTTGCTATTGTCATACATTTAGTTTTGTTGGTAGAGATGTTCATATTTAGTAGTCGGCTTGTTTGAAAGAACTGAAAGAGCTGCCTTTGGAGATCATCTTCTGATTCGGCAATAATTGCTGCATCGTCTGCGTAACACACCATACCAATTCTTTTGTTGCCCATTCTACATCCGAGATTAAGAGATGTTACTTTGTTGATAATTTTGCCCATGAGAAGATTAAACAAGAAGGGGCTTAAACTGTCGCCTTGTCTAATTCCTCCCGGTGTTGGAATATTTTCAGTGAATTCGTCTCCTGCTCTAACTTTGGTTACGTTGTTGTTATTTAGGTTATGGAGTATCTTTGTTATACTGGTCGGTGTTTCATTTTCTATTAATATATTTAGAATGTCTCCCAGGCGAACTCTGTCAAATGCCTTCGTCAAATCAATGAAGCAAATATACGCTGGCATGCCGAACTCTATAGCTTTTTCTTTTATTTGTTATTTCGTTACTTCTAAAAATTCTTTCCCTTTGGTGGTAGTCAGTCGTGACCCGTAATGCGTATGTATTGCATTAAAGTCTCCTACAGGGATAAATCTATGTTCTTGACTAGTCAGGAAATCTACATATTGATTTTTTTATGGCATGTCTTGACGGACTGTAAACCGCTGTGACGATTACCTTATAGTTTTTACATTTAATTTTTACTGATGTGCCCTGAAATTCTTTAGTTCTGTATTCCATTTTCTGATAGTGTATAATATTTGCTTTATTTATTACTGCACTATCTCCTTTGACCGCATTATCAGGGTGAGAATTATTATAAGTTGTATAACCCCTAAATCTAATAAATGACTTCTTCGTAAAATTGGTTTCAGAAATGAGGCATATATGTCTATTTTTTCTATATCTAGTATCGCTTATCTAGTATCGCTATCTCAGGCAGCAAAAACTTTGCAAAGACTACCGAGTGACTCTAAAAATGATGCATAGCTGATGTAAGATGCAGCAATATCACATAATAAGAAATTTACAAATATGGATGTCTGAGAAAGAGGACAATGGATGAATTATTTATTTGAAAGTGAGTAAATTTGAAATATCATACAGGTTGGTTCGACAAGTAAATTTAATTGATTTTTATTTAATTTACTTAATATTATTATTACACAGGGGCATTCGTCCTGTTCACAAAAATATTGACTATTTTACAAACACATTTCTCAATATTTCTATATAACAATAGATCACCCATAGTGAGTAGTTTTGACTACCACGCACAAGTCTACCAAAACCAAGCTAAATTTATATTATTACGATGTTCATCATCATCATCATCATCCAGCCTCTATTTATCACGTCCACTGCTGG